ATGGGAAACATCATTTATTCTAAGATCTGAATCAAAAATTGAAGGGTTCAAAATTGAAGCCTCCGCCAGGCAGAAATGAAAAGACCTGCGTTTTCCCTCCCGTGATCCCTGTCAAAGCACTGCACAGGACCCCGACCCCCACGCGCGCTTCAGGCAGCAGCCAGCACAGCGCGGGGCAGCGAGCGGGGGTGTGGGACGCTTACCGGGAGGGTCAGCTCTTAGCCTCAAAGTCACCTCAATGTCTTGCAGAAATTCCCCAACACACAAACCCACTTTCCTACAACAACTCCACGTGGAATTGCTGGTACAAAGAGAGCCCTCGGCATGACATATGCCTGCCCCTTTGCGTAGACACCAGAGGGAGGAGAACGAAACTGGGTCTACAGACGGCCTGGACGGCATCCATAGCGGAACCGGGACGCCTGGAAAGAGTGTGCAGGGTCTGACATAAATGGATCTGGATAAAAATTTTCTTCAGAGTGTCCGTGGGCAGCTGGATTTCGGAGTTTAGTTCACGCCACAGATGAAATAAAAGAGGCAAGAAACAAAGGGCAAACAGTAGGTTCAACACTCAAACCTGCACTTCCTTGCACAGAGTCCGCAGTCACCACTCCTGCTGTCGGAACGCTTCTTCTTTTTGAAGAACCACCATTTGCTTCCCAGTTTTCCCAACGGGACTGAGTTCCCTAAAATCAGGGTCCACGTCTCCTTCCCTGCTCCTTGCTCATCCTCAAGAGGAGGGCTTGCCAGAAGGAAGATGCTGACCATTAATTCTTGGACATTTGCTCAGGTTTCACAGACTTCAGTACCATTCAAGGGTAAGCCTTCTTAAACTTTTAGCACTGTTGACCTCATAGGGACCCCAGGAAAATCCAGTGAAGGCTGCTGTCCTGAAAACTAGGAGGTGCTTCAGAGTAGCTCGCTTGACTTAGGCACAGCCTGGCTCTGACACTCCCTCCCAGAGGGATGGGTGCGCACAGACACAGGGTCAAGTCCCATCGTTAAAGCAGAAGTATCTCAGTGAACTTCCCAGGGTCACAGATCCTTATTACGTGTTAAGGGCTCACCTGCAAGGACCTGGGCTCTGCTAAGGACACAAAGACTAAAGGCCGGGTCCCTGCCCCAAGGCACCAGAAAGGCGGATGGCTGCAGCAGTGAGAGAGGATGCCCAGAGGTGAGCAAGGTGAGTTCAGCACAGTGGTACTGGGGGTGGGGGTGGGGTGGGAACTGGCCTGACTGGTCCTGACTGTCACAGGAAAGGTGGGAATTGGTCAGGGTGGGAAGGGAGTGACAGATAGTCTCGGCAAAGGGGAGGCTATGGCAAAGGCTGAGAAGTGTTCAAGTGGGAGCGGCTCCAAGCCTGGGAGAAGAGAAGCGCTTTTGTTGACTCCTCCTGGGACTTCCATCCGTTGCATCAAAGCCACACCAAATAAGCATACAATCTAAGAAAAAAACATGCAAAAGTAGCTTCAGACCCCCCTCACCTCCAATTCCAATCTGATTATCGGCCCTGTGGAGGTGTCTTGGAGAAGCAACTCTGGGCATGGTTCTTGCACACTAGAAATTTGGTATGGAAGGGCGAGAGGGAGTGGTGAAGCTTGTGCCACACCAAGTATCCCCATCGCTGCTGGACTTGATTCTCTAATGCTTCTTCTCTTGCCAGAAGCCAGTAAAGTGCAGATAAAGTTAAAGCTGAGATTATAGTCAGGAGAGGAAATAAACACCCTTTCGGGGCTCTCCCTGGCCACGTCCACGCTGAAGATTTGAGTTTACTGATACAGGGACCATGTCCACCATGTCCACCTCTGTTTCCCCAGCACCCACTAGAGCCCCTAAATTGAGAAGAGGCAGTCATTGTTTTTTGGATGGCATGATCTCATGGATGAGTGAGCAACTGTGGATACTGGTGTGTAAATATTGTTTTATTTGTAATTCTAGAAAGAATGAATGTTTTACTCAGAGTTGCCCATTGAAAACAAATTTGTTTGAACAGCAGTTCAATTACATCAAGAGTAATTGCCCATTGCTGTGTTACAGACGTAATCCAATTCCTAGAGAAATTAGCATATGCATTTTAAAAGCATAATCACGCCTGACATCAACTAACTTCCCTGTGGATTCCTTCCCGAGGACAGAAAAGGGAAAGTTCCGTAACACAGCAACAGTGACTCGCCTTTCAGTCTCTGAGGACTGTTCCTCCAGTCTCAAGGATGACATTTGCTTAAACGATGAAGCCAGCCCCAATTCCAAATAAATATGACACCTGCACACTTCTCCAAGGACAAACATTTTATTGCAATATAGGCACTTGGCAGGGTAAATATGTGGCTAGAAAGTGTTTTAAATTTATTTGCTTTATATAATGACCAGAAAAATCAAACCACAGTGTAGACTTCTTTGTTGAAGTTGCAGACTTCAGACGGCAAATCGCAAAACCCATTTGTTTACAGTAAGAAGCCATGTGTAGCCAACTTTTTTACCTTGTGAAACTGTGTTATTATTTTAGTCAGTGATGTCTTTCTCTTCCCCAAATTATTTTTTAAACTTATTTATTTGTTTAAACCATCACTCTTTTAAATTATTTATTAGGTGGGGAGCTAATAAGGTTCATCTATTTATGTATGTTTAGAGGAGGTGCTGGGGGTTGAACCCAGGACCTTGTGCACGCTAAGCATGCGTTCTACCACTTGAGCTATATCCTCCCCTGCTCTCCCGCAAACTAAAACTGCTATGTAGCATACATTCTATAGCAATTTTTATAAAGAAATAAAAATCACTGTCTGAAGGAATTGTAGAGCCCTTTGAGATCACCGTCTCCGATCTGAAGGGTTACAAAACCAGACTCGAGAATTTTGTAATGAAAGGTAGAAGATCGAGCTGGAAGGCCCGCAGTTTTTCATACTCAGCCTCTTTATAAAGTTTTTGGACAAACTGGAATCTTACCCTTGTGATCTCCAAAATGCTTTTTTTGGGGGGTGGGGGTGGGGAAAGGTTTATAATGTAAGGCACTACTGTCTCTGCTCTAAGCTGCAAAGGAAAAGATGACAAGCTAATTTTTTTCAAGGAAAATATTCTTTGTGAAAGGTCAACAGTAATACAACTGGTTAAAAGTCACGGATTTTTTTTTGCCAAAAACCATGTCTTGAGGTTTTATACATTTCAGACAGAGTTGCCCCTAGGAGGGATCCCCAAGAGCAGCCTGCAGAGGCTTCTCCAGCTGCTCTTTTAAATCCCAGTAACCTTGTTCCAACCCAAAACCCCTGAAACAACACAGGCAAGTCTGTATTAAAAGCAAGACAAACCCATAGTAATAGGAAGCTATTCCACTCAACCTGTTTAAACGAATAAGGGAATTTGTAATGAACTTTCGTTTGCTGTTCCATCTTGCAATGGAACAATCATCTGACTTAATCTAGTGAACTTGGCTTTTGTGAAGTATGTACAGAGCAATTCTTTGTGTTCTCAGCTATGTCTTCCACGTAGTGTCCGGTCCCCTCTGGCCTATGGATGGGTAAAGGGAGGGCACTGATGTTCATCCTTCCAGTGAAGGGACACCTACTCTCTTTTCGGGTTGGAAAAATCTCTTAGCCTTCCAAGGGGAGCCAGAAGCCCTGAGGTGAGCAGAGGGAGGAAGCTGGATGCCCTGGCCTGGGCTCAGCGTGGGCCAGGACCTCCTGGCTTGCTTGTCACGATCCTTCCAGAGAGAAGGGCAGTTCTTGGCAAGTCTGGGCACTGCTCCTTTGGCTCCTGGCCTTACTGGGCAGCGCATCGACCATCTGGCCACCTGCCCCTTGGACTCGGGACATGATTTAAGGGAAGACTCCCCAAGGGCAGAAAACCCAAGTGGAAACACCTCCCTGCCAGACAGCAAGCCCCAGACAGTCGAGCACAGCGGCGCGGTGGGGCGCGGGTCTCACGTTTCCTGAGCCACCCGGCACAGGCGGTTCCCTGCAGGAGTCGAGTGACTTAAGAAGGCTGGGAGCCATTATTCAAGGCTGCGTGTGTTTCTAGCAGGAAGTCCACATGATGACTAAACCCTAGTGTCTGTCCTTGAAGAGAGGAGTCCTTGGAAGAGACAGGAAGTGAACATAACTGCAAAATTCCATGCCAGACACAAGGACGTGAGCGAGCAGAGGCAGGGCCGGAACCAGGGGAGAAGCGACCTCCGCCCCCTTCCCTGTAACAAGACCCTTCACAGATGTGAGGGCCCAAACACTCTAAGGAAAGTTGGAACAACGCAATATGAGAGTATACTGATACTGATTATTTTTTCATCCCTTATGACCTAGAAATCCACGAAATTCTCCACCTTGAGTTGGAGAGGGAGATATTTTAAATCCTGGTTAAATGGTTAAACTATGTGACAAGTTCTTTAAAAAGCTGATATAAATTTACTTACTGATAATGATCAAAACAAGCTCTTAGGACAGGATGTGGGGATCCAATGTTACAATTTGTGGAAGGAAATTTCAAGATGCAGTGCCAGGACTAACACTTTTACAATCTGGTATTTTTCTGAAGGACAAGAGAACACATCTTTTTAATCATTCGCATGTGAGTCTATTCCACTTTTAACACTGACTGTTGAAGGTCACAGTCCATTCAGAAGATGTGTTTCTATTCCCATTAAAGTGTAAGTTCAGGGAGAAAGAACAGTCTTTTCCACCGCAGTTTTCCAGCTCCAGGGACGCAACAGGACCCAGTCTGCTGAGCAACTGAACAGATGATGTCCATTCTTGGTAACATCTTTGGAACTTAAAGGTACGTATCTTGGGTTTCCTCTTTCCGTCTTCCTTTTTTCTCTCTCTTCTTTCTCTCTTACCTTCTTTCTTTCTTTCTTTAATTCATTTTATTTATTTATTCATTCATTCTCCTTCGGAGAATAAACCAGGACCATTTCAACGGAAAGACAGAAAGCTGTCATGGGTTGAAAATTGGCTTTTTTCTTTTAGATTAAATCCCCCTGGGCCTTTTATTTTATGCCAGACAAGCACCTTACCTTTTCTCTTTTTTTGTTTTCTTTTTCTTTCTTTTTGTTTTTTTGATTACTGTGCCTAACACAGCATGTGGCACAGAATAGCTGCTCAGACAATGTTTAATTGGTAGGCTTCATGCTTGGTAGTTTAGCTAAGCTCTTTCTCTGCCCAGTTTAAGGCTAATTGGGAATGCTTTCAGGCTTCAAATGCCAAGGAAATTTTCTTGCCTCATCTGACTTTCTCCAAAAAGTGATTAGTTAGTAAGAATCAACAAGATTAATTAATAAGAAGTTGATCGCTGAATGAGTAACAGGTCCAGACGGTCCCACAGACTACAGCCTTCCTTGGCTTCTGCTCAGAGCCCCCTGAGACGTCTCAGGCTCTGTGGGGCTGCACACAGCGCGGGGCGGGGTGTTCGGTGTTCACCCCCTTCCTTTCTTGCAGCCTGACTGTGGACGAAGCTGAGCCCTTAAGAGATGCTGAGGGTGCTGTAGTAGACGGTGAAGCTGGATTTGCAGGATACATTTGCATTCTTACAAAAAAAAGATACTTTAAAGCCTTAAAGTGCGTTAGAAAAAAATGAGCAGGCTGTCCCTACTGTTCCCTGTCTTCCCTGCAGCGCATCCCCTCCCTGGACCCCCTCAGCGGCCCCTCACCCCCAGCACTCCGTTACCTTTGTAATTCCTATTGAAATGCTCAAGCAATTACTTGTGGTGGAACAGATGAATTCCGTAAAGGTTTGCCTCAGTGCTTGCACCCACGTGGTTTCATTAGACGAGTTAAGGAAGTACTTATTACTTTTTGGGGGGGGGGTAAACAACTTGGATGCCACCCCATAGCTGTATTCTCTCGCTGAGGTTCGCTACGTTGTCTCTCTCACTCCTCCGAGGGCTGGGCTGAGGGATCCTCTTTCTGTGAATCCAGGATGTCGGGACCTGGCCCACTCTCCACCACCCACTGACACTCGGGAGCGCGGGCAGCCTCGCGCTCCTCCGCATCCTGGCTGCTGGCAGCCTGGGCGGGGCTGCTCCCCGCTCCTGCTGCTTCCTCCGCAGAAGCCTGGCTCTCACGGGGGCTGGTCGGGGCGGAGCTGAAAACGCAGTCTTCCCGGGGCACAGCCTCAGCCTCCAGGGCGCGCGCCGCCTCCCCGCCGTCAAGCGCGTCCTGTCCGGAAGCGCGCGCTGCAGGCTCCGGCTCCCCGGGCCCCCCGGCCTCCCCGGCCTCCCCTGGCTCCGGTGCGAGGCCCGAGCCCGCGGGGCCCTCACCCGGCCCCTCACCGAGCGCCCCACAGGCCGGCTGAGGCTCTGCAAGAGCCCCCACCTCCGCGCCGCCCGCCTCGGGCTCCGGAGGGGGACGCGCGGCCTCCCTCCCGCCGACTTGGCTTCCTTCACAGCTGTCCCGGCCGGGGGCAGCTGCGTGGCTGGCCTCTGCGTCGGTCTGGGTTGTTGCCTCTTCTTTTTCACCGTCTTGGGGAGCAGGGGTCTCCTCGTTCGCATCTTCCTCAATCTTGAGCGGGGCAGGCCCCACTGGGACCTCGACGGCCACCGTCAGCAGATCTCTGAGCTCCTTCAAAGAGCCCGAGGCAGAGGTGGGCTCTTGGGCCTCGGGGGTCTCTCCGAACTCCAGCTCTGATGAGCGTGTGCCCAGGGCTCCGGCTGTGTGCTCTGCGGCCACCGGGCTCACAACAGGGTCACCCACGCCTGAAACGATGCCCTGCCCGTCTCCATCTGGGGGAGGGCTGGGAAGGGGGGCAGAAAGGCTTTCTCCTTTGGCCAGTGGGCTCAGGACCCCCCGCTGATTCCCCCCCGCTGGCTCCTGGAACACCTCCTCACTCGGGCTCTCAGTATCTGGGACTCCTGGCAGGATGGCCGAGGCTCTCCTGGCAGGGCTGGCCTGGTTTGATCCTGAAGGGGTTTTCAGATCAGTTAAGCTGGACACGCTTTCACTGGGCAAGGCCATGTTGTCTTCAAATAAATTGTGTTTCTTCAGGACAGCAGCTTCCTTTATCACTGAGAGATACCAGAAAGCAAAACATAACATTAACACTCTGCCCTGGCCAACCTTGATTTTCTGATTTTATCCAGAAACCAAACTCCCTTCTCAGCTTTTCTGGCCATCCAAATTCCCAATTTCAAGTTCCAGCTGGCATCCACCCTCTTCCAGGCAGCCTTCCCTGATGACCATACACTGGACAGCTGGAGTGTTCATTCACTCATTCCTTTACTCATTCATTTATCCAAACAGCACATATTTACTGGGCACAAAGTATGGGAAAGGCTCTGAGACTCCAAAGATGAATAAAACGTGGCCTTTGCTTTCAGGGAGCTCAAATCCATAATAGCATCACGTGTATCCCCATGGGCGCCCCCATCGTATCTCACTAGCTTCTGGTATGTGTGGCCCTGGTTTGTCTGCCTCGCCTGAAACTCCTTTAGGGCAGGTCGGGCCTTACGTTTCACCACTTTTACTCACAGTGCAGTCCTGCATGTGTAATGGGGTGCTCAGCACCGAGCATGCAAAGAGCCTGGTTGACCTGCAGTGTCCAAACTGAAGGCCTGGGTACAACTAGGTCATCCTGGAGGCCGTGAGAGGAGTGCCAACAATATTGACAAGCAGCAGCTGACATTTTTGACAACTGGCCTCCACCGTTGGCTGTGCAGGTGGCATAGGCCCAGCGACCTCACACCCGAGGGGGGAGCCACTCACATCACAAATAGCATGTACTACTGGGCGTGATATTCCAGCATCCTGTAGCAGAGTGTCCTGCTCAAACCACATCAGCATATCGTGACAATTTTTTAACAAAGAGCAGTCAGGCGTCTGGAGGAAGGGAGCCTTTCTCCAATTCCCCCAAAGGTGCCATGGCGGATGGGCAGCTGCCTTGACTGAGCCCGCCCTTGTGCAGACACTGCACCTGTAACAGAGGACAGACTGGACTCCAGACTGGATCTGCTTCTTTAGTTTTGACCACTGTGCCCTGCTTTTTCTAGGCTCAGTCTGGCCAGCTCTGCATGGTTTTCTACGTGCTTCCTTTTGGGAAACAATGTTGCCTTTAGCCTGAAATACACAGGAGCACCTACTCTCCCGGTGCTGGCCTTTAAGGATGTCAGCATTTCTGCACTTACGCGGAGATGGCAAGTTGCAAAACAGAGAATGACCTTTGTTTTGTTGGAGGTTTACAGGGACACCATGACCTGGCCCATGTGGAGGGCTGCAAGAACAAAGAATTCCTGAAGCAGGAAGTTTGCAACAACCAACCACACCCCGTCCCTTGGTGTGTTTTGTTTTGTTTTGTTTTTGCATAAGAGGAGCCTGTCTTCTGACTGGAGCAGGATGGTTCTCCTAGACATTACTCTGCCATCCTCTTGGTCTGCCGGCTTTCCAAATAGTCGTAATTCCTTGCCCCAACACCTCGTCTGCCGGTTTATTGGCCTGTCGTGCGGCGAGCAGCACGAGTCTGGACTCGGCACCACGCTGACATCTTTATACCCCTTCTCTCACCGGGGGCGCTGACTGTGACCTGGGACTTGTGCGTGGCCAGCTTCCTTTGTGCAGGGGTTACTGTGATGCTTTCTCTGGAAACCAGGTACATCTCAGGCCTACAGTGGTCAGGATCGCCCTCCATTTCGGTGTATTTCTAGCAAAGGTTTCCTCCCTGCACTGCTACCCCAAGCAAGGCCCGCCTCCACAGGACGCTGGGTGCTGGCGTTCCAAGGAGACTCAACAGCGGAGGGTCATCACCCAACGTCTCTCTGTCCGGCCGAGCGGAGGTGAGGAATGTGCTGAGGGAGCAGAGCAGCTGGGACGCCCTGCCGCTGAATCACCTCCTCCAGGCTCTGGGAGCCCGTGACTAAGAGCCCTTCTTCCTTTGTTCTGTCTGGAACAGCTGGAGGAAGACAGCTGTCGATGAGACACCCTTGATTTAATCTCTCTATACCTCGGTTTTTCTCATTTGAAAAATGAAGCTTCAAACTCCCATCAGTGAGATTTTAAAGAGACGTAACGTCTACCAGGCCAGCAGCGTGTATGCCGAGTCACGGCTGCCCAGCCAAGGGCAGCTGCCCTCCCCTCTCCCCTGTCCTCTCTGTCTCCCCAGCTCCCCGTGCCAGTGTCCTCTTCCCCTTTCATTCCTCGTCATAAAATCTGGCTGGCCTCATGGGGTCCCATTCAGGGGTACTCCCCTCTACCCAGGGCTTTCTCCAGCACCAGGGGAACCTTCATTACCTTTCAGGGCTTCATCAAGGAGGATCTGATGTAAAATCTCCTCGTAGACATTTTCAACGTGGATCATGTTGGTGTGATCTGCGAAGATGAACTGCTCATATTTCTGAAGTTCCTGGAGAGGGAGAGGGAAGAAGGTGAAGTCACAAGGCGTGAGATGCCCGTTGACAGAGGGGCCGTGGGAAGGCTGGCCCCCTCCCGCGGGCCCCCTTCCTTGGAGTGAGATGCGTTGACCGCCCCTTCCCCCAGGCACCGCTCCCTGTATTGGGCACATGCTCTGTGCCCTTCCAGGGCACTGGCACCAGAGATCCTGATCATTTCAAGGCCTTGTCAAGGGGTCTGAAGTCCTCATTTTTTCCATCATAACTAAAACATTTCCTTCTTTTTTTTTTCAATGCCAACAGTACTTCACTAAGGTATAAATTACACCCAGAACAATGCACACATTTTAAAAGTGCAGCTCAATGATTTTAAATATATAGATATACCCAAGTAACCATAACCCAGATCAAGACGGAGAACGTTCCCAGCACCCCCACACCCTTTTCCAGCCTACACCTCCCCGAGAGATAAGAGCGGATCTGGTGTCTGTCACAATGGATTTGCTTCTCTTGTTCCTTAACTTTATCTAAATGGAATCATGTATTCTTCTGTGTTTGTTTTTGAGATTCATCCATGTTGCCACATGTATCAGAAGCTCCTTCCTTCTTATTGATAAGTGGCATTCATTACGCGGATAAACTAAAATCGTTCACCAGTACCCCTACTGATGGATACCGACTGCTACGAACATCCCGGTGCGTGACAATGTGTGGATTTAGGGCTTATTTATCTTGCGTGTATACCCAGCAGTGAGACTGCTGGGCTGCAGAGTAGATGGTGTGTTTGACTCTATTAGAATGCGACTCCTTTTCAGGTGTGGACAATCTCTAGTTACGGACACTTCAGGAACGTGCTCCTCTTTCCCTCCAGCTGGCCCTGGGATGCGCTGATTACAACTAAGGCAATCCAGGCAGTGTGCAAAATCCTTCAACCCCTCCTGCTTTCCAAGGGTCTTCACACGGCTTGCCTGTTACCAGTATGAGGACAAGGCAGGGATCAAACTGTGCTGAATCATATCCCAGCGATTAACTCAGTGATCCTTGCGCCTGACAGTGCTGGAGGAGGGCGTCAACGGCTGGTTCTTAGGAAGCCAGAGACTTAGCAATGGGATTCGATGCCTTTTGTCTGGGGTGGGGGCACAGGATTTACAGCAGGTGATCAGAAGCCACCACATTCAGACAACTCTCAGTGCCTAGAACCTGGGGGGTCTGTAGCCCAGGACTGGGTTACAGGGGGCAAGAACGGGGTTCTTATGCCTTTATACCCGCCCTGGGGAAAGCCACAGGGTTGCAGAGACATGAGCTTCCATGACCCCGAGAGGGTCTGTGAGACAGGACTGATGCTCAGACCAGTGTCGCGTGGAAAGAGCACTGCCCAGGAGACTGGCCACTGCCTCGGAACAGCTGTGGGGACCCTGGGCCAGCCACGCCACCTTTGCGCCTCTCTCTCCCTCTGCAAAACGAGGCGCACAGGCTCATGTCCGCAACACCTGTCATCTCCCCACATGGTCTTCTACTCCTCAGCCCCCTCTTATTCATCCCGCAGGACTGGGCTAAAATACGACCCCGGGAAGTCGTCTCTGACCCCACAGGCAGAGTTGGGCAGCCTCCTGGGATCTCTGCCATCGCTCTTCCGCGTAGGGCTCCTGCTGTGACCGCCACAAAGCACGCTGCGTGCCTGTCTCCTGCCTCGAGGCTGTGAACCCCAGGACCAGCAGGGACGCCGGCCTGGCACAGTGCCTGGGTCACGTTTGATACATATTTTGTAGATGTTTGCTCAATAAACAAACACTGGACCTTTAAAATTTCCACCAGCTGAATAATTCTGCAGAAAGGAATCAGTGATGCTGTTGTGATATGTACAACTTTACAAAACAGGTCTTCTGTATTGAATTGATCAATCTGTGACATGTGTTTAATTCCCTGAGCCCATTAAGTTAGAATCCTTGAGGGTGGGTCTTGGAGAATCAGATTTAAAAAAAAAAATCTCCCAGGCAATTCTAATGTGCAGCTTGGGTTGAGCACCACAGATCGAGGAAGCTGTGACTTGAACCAAGGGGAACACACTTTAGTAAATATTGTACAGCGTGAGGAATAGAGCCAAAATTTTGTAATAACTGTAAATGAAAAGTAACTTTTAAAAATGGTATAAAAAAGAAATAAATAATTAGGAAAAAAAGAAATAAATAATTAGGAAAAAAAACCCAAATCTTCCCTGAAGCAGGTGCTCCCCTAGTTTATTTATTCTGCAAATCAAGATGTCTTTAAATTTCTTGACACTGATACAATATTCTTCATTACTGAAAATACTGGGCTTCAGTTTATTTGAAACCAGTTTCTCTTGATTACAAAAGCACAAGAGCCTCTTACAGATTAAGAACCACTCTGTTGACGCCTGGGAAGAGGGGAGCAGACGAGAAGGGGGACTTGCCTCGCCCCTCCCCTCCCCTGGGAGGAGGTGGCTCCGAGGCCCCCGCGTTGCCTTTGGGACTGGAAACAGCCACCCTAAGCAGAACGTCTACATGGAGACGTATCCAAGGTGGACGGGGTCATCCTTTGAGCGACTGGATTTTTCCATCCACATCAGGCAAGAGACAGTCATACAGACAGATTCTTTACTGCCCTGACTAGATCAAATCCTTTTCTATGAAAGAAATATACCCCAGAAATCGGTGTCAGGTACTAGGTATGCCCATGACTTTCTAAAGAGAAATAGCGTTTACAGAGTGAAAAAATGACCAAAGAAATTTCCACAGTAAAATAACTCACCCAAAACATTGTAATGTTTCAATGTTTGGCGACTCTAAGTGGCCCCAAAGCACTTCTTAAATCCTAAAAAGCTCTTTATCGTTTTTGCCAAGAAGGAGGAGGCCTTACAAATGTCCCAGCTCGCAGATCACGCAGTAGCAGCCAAAGCAGCAGTAAATCCCATTTACTGAGTGCAGGCCGTGTTAGCAGTGAGTGTGGGCTGGATTCAGACTCTGGCGATTACCAGCTCTGGGGTCGGGCCCCGTTACTTGACCCCTCAGATGTCCTCGTTCATGCAAGGAGGATACAAACATTACCTCCTCATAGGGCTGGCATGAGTACCACTGAGAGAATCCATTCAAAGTGTTTAGCACGGAGCCCAGCCTGTGGTAAGCATTCATCAAATGTTAACTGTACCATCCTAGTCTTCTCAGAAGGATACTGCAAAATACTACTCCCTCTGTTTCCTAGGAGATGAAATCGAGGCCAAGAGAAAGGAAATGTGACTTGCCCAAGGTCCCAGAGCGGATTTGTGGGGGAGCTGGGGCTCGAACCCAGGTCTCAGCCCAGCCTCACCAGCTCAGCCTGCTCTGCAGACTAGGTCACACCTCCATGATCACGGCTGTCACTGGTTGCCTAGTGTGTGTAGCAACTTTAAATGGTTTCAGTTTCATTGATTTCAGCAAGCAGACGTTACTGGATTTAACTGAACAAATATCCTTCTGTAATCATGTTAACTTAAGGCCTTTCCCTGGATGTGGTGGTCCAGTTTCAGAGGACAGGCTGGACCTATGAGTCACACCATAATGAGGAACACCTGGTATCCTTCCTTGGCCATCTTATGCAAACCCTTAACTCGGTTCAAACTCAGATCATCACCCTTTGAGCTTCTGTCTTGTCCAAAGGTCGGCAAATCCAGCCGGCTGCTTGCTTTTGTAAATAAAGTTTTATTGGAACACAGCCTGTGCCTTTGTTTATGTATTATCTGTGGTTGGCGTCTGTGCTGTAACAGCAGAACTGAGTGGTTGCAACAAAAATAGCATGGCCACGAAGCCTAAAACATCTGCTGTCCGACCATTTATGGGAGAAGTTTGTTGACCCCTCCCTGGTCATCTACTGTTTGTAAGCACATCCTGACCAAAAGTTTGCTTGAACTTCACAGGCAACAAGATAGCCCACCGTCTTACCGGTTTGCACATGGACGCCAGGGCCTTCTGCACGGTGGGGAGTGTGATCTGAACCAGCGCCTCTTGAAATATCCTCTTCCGGACGGTGCTGCTGTCATAATCGTATTGCTGCCAATGCAGAGGTAGAAACGTGTGCCAAACAGCAGCGTCAGTCTCTTAGCCTTTGCTTAAATAAGGGACTCAGCTACTGACTTCATCTCCGCTGCCCGCCCCCAGCCCACCCCCAATTTCTGAGGCCACCTGCGGTGTTTCCAAGGTTTCAGAGATCTTTCTATGCAATTCGCTGTCACTCTGGGTGGGCGTTATAACTGATAACGACCACCTTACCCTCCCCTCTTACAGATCCGGAAACTGAGGTAAGACCAGAACAGAGTGACTTCTGTGTTACAAAGTTGGGGACAGAACAGGGGGATGAACCTGTCCTTTGTCACCCCGTCCTGGGTAGGTCCATGGGGGCCATGATCATCCTCCCTCGACATCCGGAAAGTGAGGCTGGTGGGCCATCGTGATTTTCACACGGTGTGGGGGGTGTCGTCTAGCTCACAGCTGCAGGGACACTGTGGCACGTTAACCAAAGGAGTTTAGTATCTCAACAGGAAAGATGGTGAATCGCTCTGTTCTACACGGAACACCCAAACCTAGAAGCCAGGGTTTGGTTTTAGGCGTTGCTTTAAGGGGTGGGCCACAGACAACCTGGAGCGTAGTCACAGCTGTGTGAGCAGAAAGGTCAGGCCAAATACAGAATGGTAAAGAGATTTATGTTGGAGATGACAACCTGGGGCAAAATTAGAGCTCTATTCAAATGACCAAAGGCTGCCATGCGGGAGAAGGACATGGACAAAGGGCAGAACCAGAGTTACCAGCGGTGAGAACGCTGGCCTAACACTGGGAAGCAAGTTCCTGCAGTTAAAAAGTGTCGAGAGAAGAGAAGGCCGGTCCTGAGAGGTGTAGAGTGTGCCGACGCTGGAGGGGCCACTGACATCGACACTGCCTTTTCTTTCTCAATGGCAGGTTCATTCTCATGCATGTTACCACCACAAATACTGCTTTTCATCTCAATGATTTGGTTGCCAGAGTTTCCTACTGCCTATGAGGCATTAAGATCAGACCTGAAGTTCAGGGACCCCCTCCTAGGCTCTGTGAGACTTTGAACTTCTGCTCCAAAGCCCCGTTTAGGGAAAGTAGGTCATAAAAAATTTGTGGACTAGGTTTGGGGATACTTTTAGCTCTAAGCTCCCATTGACTAGCCTGTTGAGCTTATGTAAGTCATGTCAGATCTCAGGGACTTCGTTCCCTCATCTTTACAATATTTCATTGCTCTCACAAGGTTTTGTGAGAATCAAACGAAACAGTTTTTTTGGGGGGGGAGCTTAAAAAGATGCCCTACATAGGCAAGCTCCTATTATTACAAGCATTTTGATATGTACTTATGCACGAAGCGCATTTAAAACAATTTCATATAGTAGGCATCTTTTCCTTGGAGTGTTTCCTTTGCCATGAGATTTTGATTTTTCTGAAAAATTTTTCATTTAAGTGGGCTCTACTACCCTGTAAACTCTTTGAAGAAAGAGTGTGCCTTCCCTATTTTTCTATTCCACGTAATACCTATCACAATTCTTTGTTTAGTGGACAGCCAATAAATATCAAGTCCAACTGCTACTCAGCTAAGCCCAGATGTGTCACTTCTGGCCAATAAACAAGGATGCTGAGGTCCTGTGGTCCCTAAAGTAGCCACTAGATGGCAGAATCAGCACGAAAGTCAGGGGGCACTGCCGCTGGATGAAAGCCACTGGTAACTCGGCGGGAAGAGGAGGGAAAAAGCTAAAAAGGGGAGGGGGGGGTGCAAGTGAAAGAGAGAACTTGGTATTTTCCACTTAACAAAAGAAATGGAGGTGTCGGCGTACAGCTCAGTGGTACAGCGTGTGCCTATTAGAATGCACGAGGTCCTGGGTTCCATCCCCGGTACCCCCTTTAAAAAAAAATCCTCCCCTCCCATAATAAAAAATATATAAATAAAAATTTAAAAAAATAAAGAAATGGGTCATGTTCTTGCTTCGTGCTTCCCACAAACGAGAGAACAGTCTTACCTTTAAGACTCGGAGCTTAACCTTCTCGATGGCGACTGTGGTTTTGGGGGCCTCGCCTTGGAGATGTGGGGAGAGCAGCTGCTCGAACGTGAACACTGCATTCTCCATTAGCTGGAAACCAAGAGCAACATAGAAACAGACCGCAGTCAGGCTGGGTCAGCACCCCCAGGTCTGCAGGGGTCTGGAGAGAAGGGAAGGGCTGAGCCTCAGAGATGACACCCTCAGGGCAGCACCCTAGGGGTGACCCAGGGCAACAGATCCTCAAGCTAGGAAACAGACACACACACACACAACTGTGCACGTACGTGTACATGTATGTGTAACTTCTCATCCCTTCTCTTTCCACCCTGACCTGGAAAGCCCAAGGCCGTGGGGTTGAGGATATCACCATCTCCCGTGACCAACCCCTTCCTCTGCTCTTTGGTACCTACAGCCAGGGCTCAACGAAGTCAGGTGGGAGACCTCTCTGATTATTTTTTGGCTCCTGAGTCCTACATCTCCACTTTCAGGTGGAGGTAAACCATGCCAGCACATCTCCCGCCCCGCTTTCCAGTCTACCACCTCCCTTCCCTTCCCTCCTCTGCCAGGCCGGGAAGGGAGGCAGGGTCCGCGGTTGGTGGAGACGGTGGGTGAGATGCTCATGGGTTAGGAAACAGAAGGAGTTCAGATTCCTTATTGTCTGCACTTGTGTCTGCAGCCATTTCACCGGGGTCCAGTATTACTAAAGGACCTTCTGTTAAACCATTGACCAATTTTGTTCCTTGTCCATCTTTGATCTCGTACAACTCAGAAGCTAGATAATAAATAAAATGTACCACTTAATCCTGCCTATAACTTTTATGGAAAAAAAATGCTCCTTTCTTTCTCGAGCCTGCAGTCTGAAAGCACCCCAACACTGCCGTGAGTTTATCTGAGAATCTGTGCCGCCATCAGCTCCCTGAGGCGGGAGCTGGCACACTGTCCAGCTCCACAGGAGGCGCCCCTGGAGCATGCGGAGTAGAAATGTACTCTCATGGCTCCGATGATCACACCTGTCCTTCACTTAGAAAGGACCAAAATACAGAACAAGTTTGTGCCATTCATTCCTGTTCCTGGAGAAAAAGTTCCCCGTGGGAAGAAAAGGAACCTACCAAGCGGACTCAAGAAGTCCAGACTTAAAGCTGTGACTGCGTGATTGATTGACTGACCTTTAACTAGGTTAGGGAATTAATTCAAGCCAGTGGTTCTCCATCCTGGCTGCATATTTAAAGCAGTATGAATTAAAGAAGCATTTAATTATCAGAAAAAAAAAGATTTCAGAATCACTAGGAATGTGGTCTGGACGTGAGTTCTTCTTCAAAGCTCCCTGGAGGATTCTAATGTGCAGCTGACGTTAAAGGCACTGATTTGACAAATCGAGTAATTATCAATTAATGCTGCTTTATTTCCCTGAGATATTTCTTCTCTACGATGCTCATCAATATGGAAGAAAGATGAAACCAGCTGGAGCAGGGCAGAGTGTGTCCTCGCCCAGCACGATGCCTCGCTTCCCGGAGCTGCACCAGCGCACCTGTCTCACTGGCCACACTCGTCTCTCCGCGCCCCCATCCGCACCCACTGCGGACGACCCCAATGCCCCCACCTCTTGCATGTAGTTCTGGGTCCTCTGAACCACCAGATCGATGTGGGGGAATCTGAAACGGCTCTTGAGATCCTGCAGGTGCTCCTGAAGCAGGTTGACTTTAATATAACAAGGTTCCATCTTCATGGAGTCCAGTGGAAGACTCGTAAGCCGGTCCAGATGCTGCATTTTGGGGAAGGGAAAAATTAAACAGCCCCAGACATAGGAACCATTTAACGTACCTATTATGTATGACATAAATTTTAAAACAATCAAACGTATGTTATTAGAGTGATGACTTCTCAGATCACTGCATCTGTGACCTCTTCATTGTCCTATTTCCCTCCTTAGCTGGGTCCTTGAGGCCACTCTGCTGCTAGGACACAGACTGGTCTGAGAGCCAGAGGGAGGACGGAGGCACCCGGGGATGTGGTCGGTGGGCTCTTCCCAGGCTCTCGATGGACCCCAAGTGTCCCCGTCCCGCGCTCAGGCGGGCTCTCTGGCACTGGAACGGCTGGGCCCAGGAGCCTCCAAACCCTTCTTTAATGAGTGACATCTCCCTCAGGAAACCCCAGGGGGTCAGGGCGCCCCCGGGCTCCTGCGCTCCCAGGGGAAAGCCAGAGCCCCCACAGTCCTCTGTGGCCCTGGCAGCGCCCACAGGGCTTCCCTCCGCTCATGGATGAGGGGATGGGTGAGCTGGGAAGCGGCCTGGCCTGGAAGAAGCATCCAGTTTTATAACCTGGCATCCCCCCTCCTCTAGGCTGTACAAGGGACAACTTGATCGATGAGGCCGTCCGGCTTCCAGCAAGAGGGAGCGCGACAGACCTTGTCCACTAAAGACGTCACGGGTTATCCCCGTCTTCTTACACCGCGCACGTCGTTGCCAACAGCATGCATCCTATTTTCCAAGCTGACCTAAAAGTCATTTTTAAAATTGAATATTGGAGGTCTGGAGTGAACAGGAGAGTGGGTGGAGAAAGAGAAGACAGAAAGAGAGGTGCTGAAAACGGAGGCTGAGGGAGAACTGGGGAGTAACACAGTGACAGCGTGAGTGTGAATAATACGGGGAGTTTCAGGTCACAGAAAAGAGAGAAAACTAGAATTCTAGATTTTTCTAAGCAGGAATTTAACAAGGGCCCACTCTCTTTGCTTGTAAAGGGAAAACATTACTGTCTTTAAGAAGTCAGCTCTGGAGAGCACCACTGAAGTAGAATTCATGATCAAAAGCATCCTGCCAAACTTGCCCCTTGTCACATCACGTGTAATGTGTCTGTTTTTTTTTTTTTAAAGTATCAATTAAACAGACAGGAGAGGAAAAACTGGTTACCATGTTGCTCTTATAAGACTGGCAAAAAGTTTAAACAAGTGATTCCCTAATGCTGATGGGAATTTAAGGGAAAAGTATTCTGTCCTGTACAACTGGCGAGATGTAAAATTCAAATCCTTTGTGGGGGATGCAAATGGAAGCATCAGTTAATATGAGAAATAGTCCTGCCTTTCAACCTAACAGCCCTGTCCTAGGAATCTAATCCGTGGAAACAAAAGTATCAAAGTATCTGAACAGGGTGGGAAGGGACAGACTGGGAGCTCCAGATTTGCAGATGCTGACAGGCATATATAAAATAGATAAACAAGTTCATACTGTATAGCACAGGAAAATATATTCAATATCTTATAGTAGCTCACAGTGAAAAAGAATGTGAAAATGTATATATGTATGTTCATGTATGACTGAAGCATTGTGCTGTGCACCAGGAACTGACACACCCTGTAAACTGACTATAACTCAATAAAAAAAAGTATCTGAATATCTGCAACAAGGTTATTTATCACAGCTTTGTTCATAGTGCCAACAATATTTGGATGGTTGGATATATCATGGTATATCCACACATGAAATATTACGCAGCTGTTACAAAAAAGATTTAGAGCTAGAACAGGTAAAAACAGTTTCACGGGGTATTTTTGAGTGAGAAAACCGATAAACAGCAATTTATATAGTGTAACACCATTTTTCTAAGGGCAAACAATAGGAAAAAACATAGCCTATAAAATGTGTGTGTTTTATATGATACACAGGCATGGAGAAAAAGCAGAGAATGGCACATGCTAAGTTGTTAACATTGGTTAACTGAGTGGGGTGTGAGAGGTACAGACAGAGGACAGAGAGTAAAGGAAAAGGCTGCAATAAGAAACCTCAAAATATTTACAAAATGACCCCCTTTCTATACAATCATATGTATGTGTGCATAAAAAAAGAAAAGGAAAAGAAACAGAAGCATCTGGTTTCATCCATTGACTTGAAGGGATTCCATCGTGATATGACAAGCTGCCCAGCTCTGTCCGCCAGTGAGCCCCAGCTTTAGGGGGCAGCAGGTCCTCTGGAGGTCTCGTTACAGCAGACCCTGGGCCCCACCCTGGAGCTCCTGGTCCTGCGGGTCACCAGCGGGGCCTGAGAACCTGCATTTTCAGCAGCCAGGTGATGCTGCAGCTGGGCCAGGGACCATACTGTGAGGAAACTGGTTTTCTTCATGAGTCTGCATTTTTGGAAACCAACCAACCAACCAACCAAGTTTATAGAAATGAGGATACGTGCTTATATGTTTGTACGGATAAGGAGGAAGTGTATGAGGATGCATACTAAGCTATTTATATTAGTCAATTCAGGGAGCTGGGAGTGGAGATGGCCTAGGAGCTGGTGGTGGAGTAGCACCAGGTAGGTACGATGGTGATTAATTTTGCCTTTATATTAACATCTAAGTATACTGTTTCACTTATGAAGGCATATTATTTTTGCAGCTTGAAAACCGTCAAAGGAAATCAGGTAGACAGACGGATGAGTGGATGGTTGAATAATGTGGTTGGATCAATGGAAGAAAGACCGGATGAACAGATGGAAGGGCAGATGAATGAAAGGAAGGAGGAAGGGTGGGAAGGAAGGAGGGAGAGGAGAATGAATGAATGCAGATAAAGACCCGCAAGACAGGCAGCCCCAGGCAGACCGCGCACACTCCACTCCTCCGCTTGGCAGCCTACCTCCTTTAGCTGGGCACTGTCTTTGGCGGTCTGAAAGTTCTGGCTGAGTTCATCCACTTGTTTTTCAAAGAGTGCACGTACTTCACTGAATCCTGAGCTCACCGGTCCCATGAGCTCCTCCAGGATGGACGCCAGGAATGGCTGCACACTCTCCACACAGCTTCTCTCTGCTGGCTGGGCCACCAACGCTGAGGCAGGAAACAGTCAGAAAGCGGGGAGTTAGGGCAAGAGAGTGGATCCAGAGGCACCGGTCCAGGGGCCAGGGCTGGACGGCGCCCCACAGAGTCCTTTAACACAGCCAAGGCAAGTTCAGACTGGTGAGCCGGACCAGCACAGTGAGTCCTGTGCTGGCCTTCACTGGGATGGAAAACCACCAGACGCTTTGAGATTGTCACAAGGAGAGTCTCTCCTCTCCCCTAGATTTCCTCTGTCCCAGGATGAAATGCCTTTTTCTGCTTGATCCCTGTGAATACGCAATGCCTAATACAAAAAGAAAGGAAGGAAGGAAGGAAGAAAGAGAAAATGCTAATGACCCATCTATTTACTATCAATCATCGTCATTATAAATGCATACAGTGTGTCTTCTAAAAACACAACTTACTCGGTTTTAGCTCATTTCTCTAAGGGTGAATCAGTTGATATAACTTAATTCCCCTTCCCCCTCCTCAAGAGACTTTTTAAAAACTCAAGTACAGTCTTTTTGGGGGCAAATGGAAACAAATTCCAATCAGTTTGCTACCCTGCCTCCCATCCACACCCCTATTTTTTTTAAAGACGTTATTTTTTCTGATAATCAAGGATGACGTGCTCCATGACAAAAACAGAGAGAGGATAGAAAACCATAAAGAGGGTTAAATGTAACTGTATTCTTACTTCCTGGAGGAAATACAGCTCTTTGATTTAGAAGAGGAATAGCATAGTAAAGCTTGTGAGTCATTAAGTTTGGACAGGACATGGAAATCTGCATTTTTTTTAAGTCCTAAGGTGATTCTCAGGACTGGCCAGGTTTGGAAGCAGCGATACAGTAAAGGCAGTCTGCGCCCACTTCGTGGATGGAAGGCCAGCTCTACACAGCCAGGGAAGTGACCCAGCCTTGTCATGGCATCACAGAACTGAGCAGGGAGGCATGAACTCACCCCATGTCCAGTCCCTCTTTTACAAAAGGCAAAAAGGGGGCCTGGAGATGTTAGATGACTTGACCAAGGTCACACCTTAATTTTCAGATCCAGAATTATTATTCAGAAGTATTTCTTAATTTTTCTTGGCAAATAACTTGCTGATGGTGAGACAGATGGCTACATTCTCACTTCAATTTGCAGAAATATTTCACAGAGTTATGGAGGATCTGCCCACTAGTCTGAGACTCTGAAATGGCCAATGCTACTGGTATTATGAATAACTCATACATTTGGGGGATGTAAAATATTAACCAGGTCATAGAATTACCAGGGGAACAAAACCCTTTCTATTGTATGGTTCAAATATGAAACAATCTATGACTTCAAAAGATAACTTTCTTGATACCAAAATGCAAAATTTTTGCCAGAAAGATAAATGAAGTTTTTATCAATTAACTCTGAGAGAACTATTTGAAAAACATCTAATTGAAATTTCAGAATAATCATGAACATGGGTCATTCATACACTGTAAAGACTCAGCAGCTGTCCGATGTCCCCCACGGGGTGGGGGCAGAGACAGGAACAGGGAGGGGTGATGGGAGGCCAAGCTCCTCTCTGCCCGACTCCCCCGTGCCTAGGTGCCAGTGTGTGCTCCAGCCCTCTCTCCGTGCCTTTATTCAGGGTTCCTTCCACCTGTGCCTTCCTACCTCCACCTCTGCTTATCAACATCCTACTCTCCTCCTCAAGGCCAAGTTCAAATTTCACCCACCCGGGACAGCTTAGTGCCTGGAACCACCGCACGGCTTCCTGAACTATGATCTGCTGGTGTTTCCTTAACGATCGGATACATTTTACCTCCCACACAGATGCGCCCTGCTGCTTCTCAGGGACGCAGAGCTGCTGCTGTTGAATCACGTCTTGTGACCCGCTAATTCACGAGCCGTACGTTCATTCAGTTGTGCAGAGTGATTCAGAGAGGACGCCGAGCCCGGGGGCTGGACTTGGCCTGACTGTCATTCTAGCTTTGGAATCTCAGGAAAGTTACTTACTCTCTACCTCAATTTTCTTATCTGTAAAATGGAGATCCTAAGAGTCATCACTCTGAGGGTTATGCTGAGGATTAAATGAGCTCACTCTGCTCAAAGTGCGCAGGCCCGTGTGGGACCCTCTGGAAGTACTCGGTACCTGTCAGCTCCGACCCAACCTGTCAGCATTATCATTCTTCCCAGTCAGCTGACAGTAACCCAGCATTCTCACTGCCGGGGGCCCACGGGGTTTTTTGATGTTGAAATGGTTTCTGCTTGGGGACCAGGGCGCTCTCTGTTCTTGCCTCTCTTGTGGCATTCACCGTATTTTTCCTTCTGTTTCACTGTCTTTTATCCTCTCCTGTTTGTAAAATCATGTCTTCTTCTTTGACTCTTCAGAGACCTTGTATACAGCAGGAGCAGAATAAATGCTTATTGAATTAATCCGTGCTTGTGGAGCAGAACTTACACCAGTTGCTTCACTCCCAAGGGTCACATGGGAGGAAACAACGAGGTGACTACTTTAATACTCTCAAAGTTTCTTCAAAATCCAAAGCCTTCTATCAATGCAGCTTGACGTGCACTGCCTTGTTTTATTAAAGATGGAGAACCAGAGGCCTGGTAAAAAAATTGTTTCTGATATTCTGTTTTAAAAGGACTTGATCATGACTTCCTTTCAAGGCTTCCTTTAGGAAACAAAACTAGGAAAGTCCAGGGCAGAAAGTTTTTCCAGCTTATGTGAAATACACCGGAACCACAGAGACTCAGGCAAGAGAGAAAGACAGATTGGTTTACTTCAGGCCAGGAGAATGGCCACAGTTAGGCTCTGCTCAGCCCCAGAAAAGAGGTCTGTACTCACGTACAGGAGTTGAGTGTTAGCAGTTTTAAGTTGTAGAAACACACTCAACCCTAGATCAGCTGTGCTAATAGAGGAATAAGAGACCTGGATCATAGGAAACAGAAAACAGTCCGAAGTTAGTTCATATCTGGCTCAAATAAACAACAGATTCAGACACGCACAACTTTGCTCCAGGCGAGCCTCGCCAGTCTCCTCTCAGGGGGACCTGTCAGAAGAGCCTGGAGCAAGCCGGGCTGCAGCTCGAACAGGGCCTGGGGCGCAGAGGCGAATCCACCAAGCTGAGAGCCTCAGCAGAGGCTAAGTCTCTTGAGCACAGGCGTGGACTCTTCGCGCTTCACCGCGAGAGCTCCGTCGTCTTGCTCAGAAAGCACTGAGTGAGTGTTTTTTTAAATGAATGAGTGAGTGAAAAGTCTCAAGACTGGCCATGTGAGAAGACTGCTGACACGTGGCCCCAGACGGGCCGGCCTGCTCTCCCCCTGAAGTGGCACTCAGCGCGGTGTGCTTTGGGGATGCAGGGGTGCCCCACGGCAGAATTCTATCCCGCAGAGCCCTCAGAAGCCATCGAAGGCCCCTGGGAGGAGATGGGCAGACTGTCTTCCGTCCAAGGCCACCGTGTGAACATCTGCGGCTTTGAGGTCTGTAAGGTTGTCAGTTCCAACGACTCAGCTGTGACCTTGTGGCACGAAAGTGGCCACAGACAAGACAGATGAATGGGCATAGATGTGTTCCAATAAGATTCCATTGACAGAAACGGACGGCAGGCCAGATTGGGCCCTCAGGGCCACAGTTTGCGGACCCCAATCTCACAGGCCCTTGTGATTTAGGAGGAGGACACTGACGTCGAGGGACCGCCCTGTGTGACCAGCTGTAAGAGCTGGGACTACAGACAGTCACTGACTTAAACGATGGTTCTCCCTCGGATTTTTCAAGGTTCAAAGCAATCTGCATTCAGTAGAAACCATACTTCAGACTCCGAATGCTGATCTCCTCCTGGGCTCGCGACAAGCAGTACGAGGCTCCCTCGTGACGCCGGACAGGGCAGCATCAGGACGGTGGCCGCCGATACAGTGGCAACCGTCCTGCACCCGCACGGCCATTCCAACTTCCCCTCCCAGTACAGTGTTCAATCAGCCCCACGAGATATCCCACACTTTATTATAAAACAGACTCGGCGTTGGGTGCTTTCCCTCAACTGCGGGCTAACAGAAATGTTCTGAGCACGTCTCACCAGGCTGAGCCGTGATACTCGGTAGGTTAGGCGTATGAAATGCATCTTCGACTTAACACGGGTTTATTGGGACGTCACCTCGTGTGTCGAGGAAGATCTGTAGAATCCAGATTTATTGACTCTACACCAAAAGTTTTTTGTTTTTCTTGTTAAACGAAAATCTGCTTGCCCACGGATTCAGATATTCATCGTGAGTCTGCACGCAGCAGGCGTGGTACCAGGCCCCAGGAACCCTGAGTGAGCCAGGGCGGCCTGGCCCGCCCCTCAGGGAGCTCGCAGCAGGGGCAGAAGCGCGACAGTTTGGTGTAAGGAGCACTACAGCGGGAGAGACGCAGCGCCCGGGCGCGCCCCCGGGGCAGGGGCGGCTCGTCACTGC